AGTGCGTCGCTGTCAATAGAGGGACAGAAATATCTCAGATTGCATCAAAAAGATTTGCATTCAGAAGATGAACGAAAGTCTTACGGGTTTGGACATGACATGAGGGTGAGTAATTAATGACAAAATTCATTTTCTGGGGGAACTATGCTGATTTTTCTGAGAGCGTAATAATACTGTAGATGTGTAATCCAAATAGATGATAATTTAATATGCAATACAAATACATAAATCTTAAATTTAGCCCTAAATATTGTTTTAGTGCAAAAAAAAAAAAATACATTTACAAACCTTTTTGGTGTTTGCCAACAGCAATCTAAATAGCTGTGTGAAGCAGGGCAGTTGTAGGATAAGCACACACTCTCGACCTGTCATGTGCAGTGTAAACAGGCGACAGGCAAACTTGGCAAAGTTTGCATGTTTGCACATATCTGTGTGTCCCGTCATGCTGCTGGAGTGAATTGGCGCTCACAATTGGTTTCCCGGGTGCATTGTGGAAGACCGCAACTTTGGCACAAGCCTGGGCAGCAAATAAAAGCATCATTATGTGCAACCAGCGGGTTATTTAGGTGCCATAAATACTGCAACTAGAAGTGCCATTAGGACACACAATTACACAGCGCATTATCAACAGTTCACTTTGGCCATCAGGACAGCAGCTCGGCCTGTTGGCCAATAGATCTGCTTTTTCGCCAGATGTTCAGACAGGCCTGATTGATTTTGATGACACGTTAAGAACACAAGGGCATTATCACAATTTACATACTAAGAATGCACAAACGGGTGAATTACAACACAACTCAGCCACCATTTATATATATAGTTGTGTTCTAATTCCACACACTAAACCCGTTTGTGCATTCTTAGTATGCAAGTATTATGATTATATATACAGTATTTTTTATATATATATATAAGTGCATATATGCATGCATTTTAGGGTAATATTGCCCATAATCCCTTCCAGTGCAAGAAAACTGGAAAAGTTGTTGGAGAATATTGTTGAATTCGGAATTGCATACTAGCTTGCTACTCATACTATTCCTGCCATAGAAAGACATGGTAAAAGTAGTATGCAGTTCCGAATTCAGCATATTACATTTATGCATTTGGCCGACGCTTTTAGCCAAAGCGACTTCTATTGCAATTCAAGGTACACATTTACATTTTTATCAGTGCTTGCTTTCCCTGGGAATCAAACCCATGACTTTGGCGTTGCAAGCACCAACGCTCTACTGTTTGAGCTACGGGAAGGCTATGTGCAGCGAATTGAATACTAGGCTAATGCTTAATGCAAAGTGTACGCTTTCTACTAAAACAGAATGCAATTAGCAAGAAAAACATTTAAAACTGTAGTATGCTACATTTCTGTAAGCGTTATGATAAGATTTTTTTTTGTAAAAGCATACTACTTTCATCTGACAGGAATAGTATGAGTAGTATGCTAGTCCAAATTCAGCTGATGTTAAAAATCGTGGCTTATATTACTTCCAGTTAATTGGCCACATAAGAAGTGGAAGGTTAAGTTGAGCACATTGCATTATGGGATACGGTTATTCCACCGTGCATCCTAGTTGTGTACTGAGCATGTTTAATGTAGTATGCAATCAAGGTATTTCATGCATACTGTGCACAATGTACATACTGCATACTTAAGAAATACGCTGCATCTGAAATTGAATACTTAGTATGTGAAACACAGTACGGCAAAAGAGTATTATGTCGAAACCGTAGTATTTGAAAAACAGTAGATGAAAACTCAAGAAGATTTTGAAGTGTGCATTCAATGGACACTTTACTATCCCATACTTTTTTAACGGTTAAGAAGTAATTTCAAATACAAATGAAATGTACCTACTCAGACTGACAGTAGGTGATTTCGGACGCAGTGTTAGTATGAGTAGTATGATATTCCAAACATGGCCGAAGACTGTGGTCTTCACTTTGTGGTGTTAATATGCAAATCATATGCAAATATAAACGTCAACAGCATTGCTGAGTATTTTCTCCTTAAAACTGCAGTGAACCAAAGACAGTCTCAAAAACACGGTTTGAAATCGCTGGTGTTTCTGACGTCACAAACGACCTTGTAACCAATCAGATCAACGTGTGATCGTCAACCAGTGGATCTCTGAGCTGAGTGAGTGAGTGGAGGCGGGGCTCATTTGCATATTCATAGATCCGCGAATACTAAATGAGGAAAGGGTGTCGAGCGACATTCACGCTATTTTAAAGCACACAGTTTTTTTCAAGGAAAAAACTTTTAAATATGTAATTTTGGTGATCAAAGCTGAGTTTTAAGGGATATAATTATTGACTACGGGGGAACTTTAAATACTACTTTCCCATCAGTGAAGTAAATACTTTTAGTGAGTAATAGAAGTCTGAATTGTAATGCAGCCGAGGTGTAACACATCGAATCTGTAAATGCGAAAGCTAACTTATATTTCCTTTCCCACATTGCACAGTAATAAAATTCAAAACTTATTGTAATGAATATTTAGAGCTCGACATGAGAATATTTCCAGTCTATTTTGTTGGCCAAGTGGCTTTCCGTTTCACTCTGCTTTGTGAATATCTTTTATTTGTCCTGTCGCAAACCATAATAACTTGTTTGACTGTAAATACAAGCACCTCATAGCAATTACCCGTGCGCACAAATGAGGAAGACAGTAATAAGTTGATTCTCCAATATAAATGTGGATACAAATGGACTCCTCTCCTTAAAGCAAACCAAAGCCAGCGAATTATGGAAATCAGCTGCATGAATTTACTTGACTGACACGGTTTGTTTACCTTCACAGATTAAAGGCCGGCAATCTTTTGAAGCAGCGTCGTATATGGAAATCATAACTGTGTTGTTCGAGGTGTGACTCGCATCCGAAATGACAAACATGTGGGACAACTGATCATAATTTGACGGTGCTTTTGTTGTTTCTTTTTGTGAATCCATTGACTTATGCACACACATATTGCATCAACTTTGCACTACATACCTTGATTTGAACTTCACTGAGCTGCAAAGAAAGACTACCACTTCTTGTCTTATCGTTTTAAATAAAGGATTGTTTTTGAACCCACATTGCTATTTAGTGTGTGAATGAACGAGGCAGGCGAGAGTCCGACGGGGATGATGTCTGTCTACAGTGGGACATGCATGAATGAGCGCGTCCAGCATCAATCACACACATGATCTGAAGACTGCAGTGTGTGTGTGCGTGTGTGAGAACATGCCGTGGCAGATATCAGTGAGACGCTGATCGATGTGTCACCTGAGAAACACCAGGATTATGACAAAATCTGTCATTACCTCACCGCCCTGTTGAAACACAGGGAGGGGCAAACAAACACACTGTAACGGTAGTACAAAAAAGGGTAACACTTTAAAATACGGTTCCTTCGTTAATGAATAACTACACAAGAACCAATGAGTAACACAATATTAACAATCTAGTAACTACTATTAACTAACAAGAAACTCTGATTAACGAATTAGTAAGTAATAGCGCACAGATGAAAGTGGTAGTTCACTATTAACTAATCAATAACTACTATTTTTTTAATGCTTCCCAGAGAACTACTGAATTTTTTTATTAACAATCTATTAACTATTATTAACTAACAAGAAACTCTGATTAACGAACTAGTAAGTAATAGCGCACAGATGAGAGTGGTAGTTCACTATTAACTAATCAATAACTACTATTTTTGTAATGCTTCCCAGAGAACTACTGAATTTTTTTATTAACAATCTAGTAACTATATTAACTAAAAATAAAATATGATTAACGAATTAGTAAGTAATAGCGCACAGATGAAAGTGGTAGTTCGCTATTAACTGATCAATAACTAAAAAATGCTTCCCAGAGAACTACTGAAAAAGTTTAATAATTCTTGCAAAACTAATCAATAACCAAAGCATTACAAATGACTAGCACTACATCAACATTTTAACTGCTACTGTAAACGAATACACAAGGTTGTTTACATTATCAATATGTAATAGCATAGCAGACTTATGATTTGGGAAAGCTGTTAATAATTGGCCTATGCTGTCTATTTATCAACTGAATAATTTTTAAAGAAATGGATTTTTAAATGCAGTTGTCGTGACCTTACTTGTCCTGTGCCCAATTTTCCGGCATTCCTCTGGACTGGCATTGAATCACTAGTCACGGTGACGACTGGAACATATTGAGTTATCAGCCATCCAAATACCATACAGTGATTTTATTATTTAACATACCACTCAAAAAATGTTTTTATGTATGTCTCCTAGCTCATATATGTGTGTTTGCATATCTTGTATGAGTGATTAGATTAAGATTCTACACTTTATTGGCTTTTCATTAGTAACTACTGTAAAAATCATGGGAACTAACTAATAATGACTCAAGTGTTACTACATACTTCTATGGGAATTACTAATTATTTGGATCCGTATTCTAAAGTGAAGATCATTGGAACTAACTAGTAATGACTCAAGTGTTACTACATACTTCTATGGCAATTACTAATTATTTGGATCCGTATTCTAAAGTGAAGATCATTGGAACTAACTAGTAACGACTCAAGTGTTACTACATACTTCTAAAGAAATTTTCTAAAAGTATACTATTTAAAAGTTCACCAAAAATCTCAAACGCTTGAAATGACTTTTGTGTTTGGTTGCACAAATCATGAAAAATTGCTTTAAACATGAGGCATGAAACAAGTAACTTTTATTAACATTTATGCTTTTTCTACTATTTCCATTTAAAGTAACAGCTTCACATAAGCATAAAACCATGTGATGCCTGAAGTGGAAAAAACAATTTATTGCCTTCTAGCATACAGTATTTATTTGCTGTAATGCCTTCCAATGTCTTTCAGAAGTCGACCTAGGACCATCTGTGTGCTTGTATCCCAGCCAGTAAGTCCACTCAATAAAAGACAAATGTTCTTTCAGAAGCTGCTCTGTCCTATTTCCTCTCAGTCACCAAATTTGGCTTTTGTAGGTTAACCAAGCTCTTTCAATATTTTGTGTGTGTCCACCATGGTTTGGATCAACAAACCATCTGCTGTGGTTTACTGAGTAGTGAGTGTAACCAAGACTTGATAGAGCTCTGTAGGGTCTCCACTCGTCGCTTAAAATGGTTGACCCTTGGCGAACATGTCTTCTAATGATGGGAAGCAGGTGATTTCTGGAGCGCCGTTCTACAAGTCGCAAAATTGGCAGTCTTCTTTGACCCTTTATGGCAAGCATGCCAAAGACCCACTTCTTTCTCCTCCATGTCTGACCAGCTCTTCCTTGTCGATACTACAATTTAAAAAACAACTTCAATAATTTCACATCAAATCAATGGCATTGACATATATTAAGATATGCCAGTGCAAGTTGCTTTGAGTTAAAACAGCTCAAACATGCATTTTAGTAGAACTAGGATTAAGCCTTGTCTGTGAAATCAGGGGTAAAAGTGTAAAAAACAAGTAAATGACTAGTATTTCCAATAATCTCGCACATCCCTAGAAGTATTAGTCTATGTCAACCAATGTAGTTAACTAATGTTTATGCCTTTTTTCTCTATTTGTGGCTCTACAGTTCGGTTTGTTTACCAAAAGCATCATTAACCAACTATGGTTTTCTTCTCAGTTTTTAGTGTTTATCTAAAATGAGACAAATCTGCTATCATTTAAATCACCAATCTGTTAGTTAGCCGTTTAGAAGACACAGGCCTCGTTTAAATCCCAGTTGTGAGATAAGATAACATTTTAAGCTGTCATATGGTCGTTACAACATGCCCCATGGTTGTCACATTTCACTTCCATTCTTTTAGGGTAAATCATGAAAAAAGTAGACACTGTGATGTATTAATGAAATGAAACCACATTAATGCACTAGATGTGAGAAATGAATGTGGGGGGGGGGGGGGGGGGGGGGTCTTGAAAGCTGAAAGATCCCCCCCCCCCCCCAGAAATACAACCCAAATTCCGGAAAAGTTGGGACGTTTTTTAAATTTGAATAAAATGAAAACTATAAGACTTTCAAGAACTAATCTTGAAAGTCTTATAGTTTTCATTTTATTCAAATTTAAAAAACGTCCCAACTTTTCCGGAATTTGGGTTGTATTTCTGTGATGGCAAAGCAGAATTTTCAGCATACTCCAGTTTTCAGTGTCACATGATGCTTCAGAAATCAGTATAATATGATGATGTGATTATCAATGTTGAAAACAGTTTTTTTTTTCAGGACTATTATGAATAGAAAGTTCAAAAGAATACCATTTATCTGAAATATAAATCTTTTGCAACATTGTAAATGTCTTTACGGTCACTTTTGATAAATTTTGATCAATCCTTGCTGAATAAAAGTATTAATTTCTTTAATTTCTTTCCCCCAAAAAATAAAAATATATATATATTTTCGAACTGACCAAAATTTTTTGAACGGTAGTGATAATGTTACAAAAGCTTTCTATTTCAGATAAATACTGTTCTTTTGAACGGTCTTCTATTCATCAAATAATCATGATTTTTTTTTTTTTTTTTTACACAATTGTTTTCAACACTGATAATAATCTGAAATGTTTCTTGATCATCAAATCATCATATTATACTGATTTCTGAAGGATCATGTGACACTGAAGACTGGAGTTATGATGCTGAAAATTCAGCTTTGATCACAGGAATAAATCATTTTTAATTGTAAAAATATGTCACAATATAACTGTTGTTGCTGTATTTTGGATCAAATATCAAAATGGATCAAAATGTCTTGCTGAGCAGAAAATAATAATTTTAAAACATTAAAACATCTCACTGTTCTAATAATTTTGCCCACCATACACATATTTTTACAATTAAAAATGATTTATTCCTGTGATCAAAGCTGAAATATATATACATACACACACACACATACATATATATATATATATATATATATATATATATATATATATATATATATATATATATATATATATATATAAGTTGTTCGACCTTTATTTGTTTTCACTTTAAAAAATAATTAAAAGGATATCCCACCTTCCTTTTATGGCGGAAGTTGCTTTCATCTATCATTACAAATTCCGTTCTTCCCCCTATGTGTTGTCCTGTCTTCCTTTTGAACTTCTTCAAGGCTTTCCTGCAGACTAATCTCAGTTTACAGGTCATTTTAGTAAGGGTGGCGGAGCTTCCAGCAATGCCATCCTGGACCATGTCGACCTGCCGTAAACGTAATCCTTGACAGAATCTGTCAGCAATAGTGAAATATTTGTGTGCAAAAAAAAGAGATTAATGTTTTAACTTTAAAAGGCAAAAATAGGTTATTTAGCATGTTGTTACACCTACCGATATATATAAGTCATCCAATTTTGTAAACTCAACTTGGTCTTGTCAAAAATTGATCCTGATCTGCATGATTTTGTCACTTTTTCATTGTGCACTCCTCGTTTACATACCCTTAAAATACAAAAGTACAGTAACACTTAGCTTTTAGATTTAAATTAGGCTACCAACCTGACAAAAAAGGATCTATATTACCATAGGTATCCATCTTTGTTGTGTGTCTTCCTCAATTTCATATTTCTTTTACATACTCTGCATTTCTTTGTAGAATCCATTAGCTTGTTTTTTTGAAGCCATTTAGTTAATTTTCTGTTTCCTTTTATGTCCTTGTGCTGACAGAGCGATAAAATCTTTCTCGAAAGTCCCATTGTTGGACTATAGCTAGCCTACTCTCAGTCCTTATACATAACGACGTAACTGCGAAGGCGCATTTTCCCACGTGATTGTCCGTGAAAAAAAATCTGTTGTATGTCATCTGTCGTAAAATGTACACTTATTGATACAAACGTTTTTTTTTTCATCTTAAAACGGTCAGGAAGCATATTAAATAATTGAACTGAAAAATATTGAATTAGTTCTTAATAAGTAAATACATATGTAAGTAATTCAAATTTGACCGGATGTGCTTAACCTACTAACCAACCACAATCGAGTGTCTTGTTTAAGCAAAAACATAAAGATGGATTTTATAACTGGTAATAAAAATAAGGGAAAATCTAAAAATATAATTAAAATGTTAAATGATTTGAGAATGAGTGGTGTAAGGCCAGTGATTAATTTTATAACATATTGGGACAACGTAACTGAAGGGGAAGAATCACTTACGGCGGTCGAGTTCGTCTGTAGCAGTGGCGGCTGCTGGTCTTTCAAAGAGGGGAAGCTCTTTTTCTTTTAACTCGACTGTCAGGTGTGGGGATGGTGAAAAGAGTGAGGACTCAAGTGCAGAGTTGATGGGCTTTATTTTAATAATAATAATAATAATAAATAAAAAAATAATACAAATAAAAACTACAAACCACCACAGGACTGCAAACACAAGGAGAATAAATAGGGAGCAAACAAGGCAGGTAACGAGGGAGGACAGGTGGGGCAAATTAACTAATAATCAGGAAACAAGATGGGAGTTGACACAATCGACAGGAGACCATATGCACAAGGAAAACACATGACAAGCCATGTGCTCACACCAAACATGACAAAAAACACAAGCACATGGCCAGTAAAACAAATTACAAGCAATGTGCTCACACAAAATGAGACATGACGAACAATGAGAAGAGAACACTCATAAGCCACGTGTTCACACAGAACATGACAACATGAAAGCACACAGCTAGTGTAAAACACAAGCTGTGCTACACAGCACAAACATGACATGAAAGCACGTGACCGATGTAAACACAACACACTTGCACAGAGCGAACACAAACCCGCACACTCACACGACATGACAGAACGTTATGCACGAGAACGAGCGTAAGCTCATCCTGTGCGCTCACAACAGAAAACAAACAAACACGAGGAGCATGAATGTCCGAATCCCGACACAAAACCGAAACCAAACTAGACAGATGTGCCGTGATTCAAACACCACGCCCGCACATGTAACAAGGCACCTGACATCGACGGAGGAAATGTGGGAATTAGGTTAAACTGTGAAATGTGAAATGTAAAATGTATTGCAAATACCAAGAAATATGTTACCGCAGTTTGTCTTTCGAGTACACTTGTAAAATCCGCGATGGGACTGAGCTCGAAATCTCGAATAGCTTCCGCGTCAGCGACATTTTATTGGACGAAATCGCTGTCAATCAAAAGGAGATGCAATCCTCCAATCATCACGCAGACGCCCGGACTCCAGGCCAGCCCACTTCTCTATTCACCCCAGAGACGCTGAGCGTCCGGGGGCGGGACATAATCGCAGCATTTATCCAATGACCGTCTAGTTTCGAAGCACTGAAAAAAACTGTTCAAAGCAGCCCCATTGAAGTCAATGGACGCTCGGCTTCAACGGGGAAATGCCATAGGGCAGGGATTCCCAAAGTGTGGTGCGCGCACCCCCAGGGGTACGCGAGCTGTCACCAGGGGGTGCGCGAGAGGAAAAATGCAATGGCGGTCTGTTTTTTTAAATGGGATTTTTTCCATACAATAAAAAAAAAAAAAACATGAACTGTAAACATTTCCTTTGTAATCGCTTATATTTTAAATTATTTATTAGTTTTTAATAGAAACGTATAAGACAGCTGCTGTCTTTTAAACACTGCTCTGCAGCCGCTAGGCTAGAATATGTCATGTTATCAACTTCTAAATTCAAATGTGCTTTCGCGCGTTAGCCAGTGCTGTCATAGCCTATATCACAACTATTGAGTGTTTTCAACCACATGTTTATTTTAAGTTTCACACATTTAAATACACATAAGTACTAGCAAAACAATGATTTTGATTTTGCTGATATCTATGGATAAGGCAATAATAATCCTTTTCATTATAAGATGACACGTTTTATTCATTGTGTAGAACGTAGCTTCAGATTTTACCCTATTCTTCTCCCAGTTCACCAGCCTCTTACGTTCATGTATTTCGTGAGAAGGGGAGAAACTGACGTGTTGTAAATCCAACAGATCCGATTCTTCTCTGAACTGTGGCACAAACTAACATGACGCCGCCCATCGCGCATACAGCTCAACTAACGCAATCGTTATGAAGGCGTTTAAACAACACAACGCGTCCACTTACACATATTTGACAATCGGAATATCAGTGTTTCATGTATAGCTAATACATTTGTGAATATTTTTGATAAAAAAGGAAAAATGACATAAAAGCAGATCCTCATTCATTCAGCGCTGTGTTGTGGTTGCGCTGTGTCCCGTGATAAGCAATGACGCGTCACCATGGAAACATTGAAGTGACAAATTCTAAATAACGGTCGCATTGGTGTGAAAGGGTTAAAAGTGGAAGCTTGTGCGTAGCTTTGTTGCATTATATTGAAACTTTGTTGATGTTGTTATTGTCATGTGTGTTCTGGTTATTTGAGCATGATAAAACATGAGTCTTTATATGGCAATAAAACAAAGCTTTGTTGCGTTAAAAAAAAAAAAAAAAAAAGTTTAAGTGGGGTCTGGGGGTGCGCCAACCCGGTTGGGACATAGAAGGGGGTGCGCAAGGAAAAAAGTTTGGGAACCGCTGCCATAGGGAAATGCACTGTGACGCTACGTGAATGTATGAGAAGGAAATCGAGTCCGCCGACCTGCTATATCGAGCTGATTCTGAACGAACTCGTCTTCGAGATGAACGTGTTCTAACGCATTATTAGTCAATAAAATGTTAACACAATAGTACACATTTGACCATTAATCTTTTGACATTATAGGGGAAGCTGAGCTTCCCTTGCAGTCTTAAAGAAATCGCCACTGGTCTGTAGGGACGGAAATTGCTTTTACAAGACGTTGGATCAACGGCGACCTGATTCGGCAGAAAGTTCAGCAGGAGAAGACATGGCTGATCGAAGAATTCCGCGTAAAAGGGTACCACCCAATCGCCTAGTAGAGGAAAATGATGATGATACTGCCGGTAAGTTATGTATTTTAAGTTCTATACATATTATCATACGATTAGCAGCATGTGTGTAGTAACAGTTAGCCTAGGCCTAATTAGCAAATGCTCGTTGACAAGCTCGGTCAAATAAGTTAGTGATTGGCGAGGCAATTTAAAGTTTACTAGTAAAACTGGCTAAATATTTCATTCAGCAATATACAAATTCGTTATTTAAGTAATGAAGGTAGGCCTAACTGTTAATGAAATGTTTGAAATCAAGGAAAGGTCTGAATTGCACATTTGATTTTATTCTCCTCTAAACCGAAAAACCATGCTGCTGCAGCATCCTTGTTTCACGATGCAGGTGAAAATTTGATATTTTGAGTCAAAGGCTTGTTAATATTTTGAAGTTAGTTAAAAATTAATTTCCATTTGTTGGCATGTCTAGATTCAGATGTTTAATATAGGCCTAATTTAAGTTGGGTGTCCATCATAGAGATAATCACCATATTTATAATGAAACCATCATATTTAAAAATATGATATTAATTATGAATATTAGGGGGTGTGACGGGACAGCTTTTAACCCCTAATATTTATTGTTACTACATTAATGGGATCTCCTTAATCAAAGCTTTCATATTCTTTAATTAAAAATGTTTCTGTGTTATTTAACAAAAATACGTTTCCTGTAATTCCTTCTAAACACTTGAGTCATTACTGTATTACCATATTCTTGACTTAATTAATTAATTATGCATCATGCATTATCTCACACCTTGGCATTAGCATCGCCATTGGCTAGTAAATGTTCTAGTTTACTCACAAGACTAATATAGATATAATATAGCTATTTAGATAGAGTGTTAAAGTGCAACAGTGTTTACAGTGTTTTGTATTATTATATATTCCATCAGGAGCATCAGCAACAGCACCAACAGCACCAACTCAGCAGGTGTCCCTACAAAAAATGAAGGAAGAAAATGCTTTATTAAAAGCTAAAATCAAGTTCCTTGAGGATAAGTGCAAGGATATCGAATGTGAGAGAGATTTCCTACGTAGCAGTCTGACCAATGGTAAATTGCTGAATCTCTAAAAGCAACTATACCTTACAACCTGTTATAAGTTGTATTTAGTAATGTGTACTAAATTCTGTTGGCTCTTATCAGAAATTGTTTGATGTTCCTAATTTTTAATTTGCTTTGAATAAATGTGTCTGCTAATAATTGCTACTGTACAGCATTATATGGTAATAACACTTTCGCCTCTTGCACATTAAAGGGTTAGTTCACCCAAAAATGAAAATTAAGTCATTAATTACTCACCCCCATGCTGTACCAACCCCGTAAGACCTTCGTTCATCTTCGGAACACAAATGAAGATATTTTTGATTAAATCTGAGAGCTGAATCACTGCTACATAGGCTTCCTAAGGGAGTGAAACTTGACGGCCCAGAAAGTCATTAAAGAAAATGTTTAAATATTCCATGTGCCTACAGTGGCTCAACTATAAGTTTATCAAGCGACGAGAAGCGACGTCTCAGGCCCACAAGGAAGCAATGGAATAGTCGAATAAAGCCGTTATTTTTGTTTTTTTCCGCACAAAAAGTATTCTCGTCGCTTGATAAACTTATAGTTGAGCCACTGTAGGCACATGGAATATTTAAACATTTTCTTTAATGACTTTCTGGGCCGTCAAGTTTCACTCCCTTAGGAAGCCTATGTAGCAGTGATCCACCTCTCCGATTTAATCAAAAATATCTTCATTTGTGTTCCGAAGATGAACGAAGGTCTTACGGGGTTGGTACAGCATGGGGGTGAGTAATTAATGACTTAATTATCATTTTTGGGTGAACTAACCCTTTAAGAATAGCATAACATGTCAAGCCACTGGCATGAAGAATCTTCATCTCATACAAGTATTTAAAAAGTGATATTAATTAACTTTTAACTGTGGAAAGCTTACCGAGTCTACATTATAACATATCCTGGCATAAAAGGGTACAGCGTATTGTAGTCTGAGGCCTTTCTGTTCTTGTTGTTGTTTTAAAGTTAGATCTTGTGGTTTTCGTTAACAAAGGTAGCAGAATATTTACATTTAACAATGCAATCAAAGCTGGTAAAGGTGGAAGAATTAAATGTAATCTTAATATGATGTATTCCTTATCAGCCTTGTCAGCAAAGGAAGACATGATGGGAGCTACCTGCAAATCCAAATTGGATGATGCTGTATCACAGTCTTCCAGTACGGAGGATGACCTTCATACAGAAAGGGGAAAAAAGGCAAAGAGAAGAGGAAAAGCGCTGAGGAAAAAAAAACATTGCAAAGTTGACTCCTCGTCCTCCTGTGTATCTTCAACCTCATCCTCATCTCAATCCTCTTCATCCCCTGCACCCCGTAAATCCAGCAAAAACAAGGATAAAACCAAGAAAAGGAATGCAAACAAAAAGCAGAAATTCACAAGAGGTATGTATTTTAAATGTCCTTACAGTAATCGTTATGTACAGTAGGGGTGTAATGGTTCAGATTATTCACGGTTCTGGTTTTTATTACGGTTTTAGGGTCACAGTTTCGGTACAGTTCGGTATGTGCTACGCTGAGTAAAACATAGGAGAATTTAGGCTTTTTATTCATTTCAATAACTAAATTAAATTAGTTATTAAAGGTGCTGTATGTATTTTTAGCGGCCTCTAGCGGTGATGTTTCAGATTGCAACAAGAGCGCTCGTGTGCGTGTGCGATCTCAAGAGCGAGCATTCACTACCGGCCACACGGAGATTTTCAACGCAACGGCGAAAGCATCACACAACATGCTGGAAACTCATGTAAACTCCCACTGCAACGTTACAATAATAGGCTACTTTTATCAGCTTGACGTTGAACTAATGCTCCATGCTCGTACCATGATAACATTACATTGATTGCATTTAGCCGACATGTGGTGTTATCTAGCATAAGGCATTTCACTAACTATTCGTGTATCTTTCACAATTAGCAATGCCAACATAGGTGAATGTATAATATGATAACGAAAACGGTGAACTAGACTGAACAATTTTAGTGTAACAGTAAGATCGTAGGAAGTAACTAATCTGAACTGAACGTGTCTGGAAATGTGTATTATAAACAATATGATAGTAGTGGGATGAGTGACGTTATAATAAATATATAAATAAATTATAATAAAAGTTACATCCTAAAGCACCTACTTTTTGTTATCCTGGAACAGTCTTTTGTATTCATTTCATGTCTCATGTAGTTTACCTTGCTATTTCATTACAGTTTACTAATTCAAAAGCTCTGCCGATGTTGATCCGTGTTTTCGTCCTGAGTCGATCAGAATCACGTTTGGCCTGACGAGCTTCAGCAGATAAAACTTTTTTTGTTTTTTTATATTTTTGTGGAGTTTGTGTTGGAGTGTGTGTTGTGCTGGAGGCAGGAGTGTTTGGTGTTATCAGACTCCATGTTGTTAGCTGCAGTGCCGTCACATAGACTGTATATAAGTAGAGAGGCTCGGGAGCGCGCAAGCACGTCACATCCGATGGATTTCACGGTAAATCCGACCCGGAGACTTCACATAGAAATATGAATATTGGCCTTCAGAGGTAATAGCAAAACCCGACAAGTGGATCATTGTAATGTGTGATTACAACCCCTTCACACACAGGCAATAAAAAAGGATTCATTTTAGAAGAAAAGCTACAGAGAGCACCTTTAAAATAAATTAATGGTCTGACTATTTAAGTGACTATATTCTGCTTATAAACTAAGTATTACACTATTGATGCTATTAAAGCTACCTCAGAACATTGAAGATACCAACACACCAACAAGTGACATTTCACCAGAATTTTCTGGCTGGCTTATATTAGTATTCCGGCTGGCTTACTTATGAACTTTACGTGCATATGGTCAGTTGTCAAATAAATACAATAGAACAAAGATACAAATAAAATAAGCAATGCTTTTCAGGTTGATCAGGTGTCTAACTGTAGTTTTCAGGTACAGAAATGTCATAAAGTAATCAAATATGAAAAACAACACTGCATATAAACTTCATTGTATAAAGTAAATAAAGATTAAACATCATTGAAGTTACAAAAGTTCAGTCAAGGGCAGTGAGTGAGTGATTTCTTTATCTTTTTGTTGTTAGATTAACATTAAAAACACAGAAAGCAGGAATTAGGCTGTTGTCATTTTAAAACATAATTCACAGAACCAGTACACTGATTCTGTACACATGTGTTCGTTGTCTTTCTCACTTAAGACATAACCTTCTATGTTTGATAGGATACTCGCTAAGACGTGCATGTTGAATTTTTGTGTGAATTTGTCCATTCAGGTGCAAGACTTAAAAGAGAATTTGCACGCTTCGGATGAGTACACGCAGACAAATCTCCTCAACGCGAGTTCTCTTTCTCGTCTTACGGTTGAATGTTTAAATTGGCAAGGTTAAAATTATTTTAAACACAGATAGCAACGTGTGCTGACCATACACATCACAACAATATAGTTATATTTAATTTAAACTTACTATTATGTTTAGAAAGCCAACATACTCTTCTACTAGACTATATAAAGTGTTCCTATTAAGCTTTTTTGAATATTTCAGTAATTCCAGTCTCACTTCCTGCTCGACCCTACGTAGGTTTGTAACAAATTTGTATATTGGCTGCCCGCGAACAATGTCTACTTTTACCTGCCCTCAAACCACAGCTACAGTATTTGACAAACTTAAAGGCCCCCTGACATGGGGTTATTTTATTACTTTATGATGTTTCCTGGGTTGCCCTTTTAATGTTAGTATGTTTTTTAGATCAAAAATAGTCTTAATTTAGAAACAAAAGGCATTTTTCCTTGCCTGATTTTAGCCTCTGATTTGAACACTCTGTTTGAAGGGGCGTGTCTTCTGTGAGACTTCAGTGTAACCGGCCACTGCTGTGATTGGCTGTGGGATTCAGTGTAACCGGCCACTGCTGTGATTGGCTGTGGGATTCAGTGTAACCGGCCACTGCTGTGATTGGCTGTGGGATTCAGTGTAACCGGCCACTGCTGTGATTGGCTGCTGTGGGATTCAGTGTAACCGCCCACTGCTGTGATTGGCTGTGGGATTCAGTGTAACCGGCCACTGCTGTGATTGGCTGCTGTGGGATTCAGTGTAACCGGCCACTGCTGTGATTGGCTGACATAGCTACGTATTACATGTGAAACTCTCGAATACTTTTACTACAGCTATTATACGTTTTTACTAGGGCCGGGACTCGATTAAAAAAATTAATCTAATTAATTAGAGGCTTTGTAATTAATTAATCGAAATTAATCGCATTTTAAAGGTTCTCTAAGCGATCCTGGGTTACGTCACTTCTTGTTGACGTTCGAACTATTGTCAAACAAAACGGAGGCTAGCTAGACCCTCCCTCCTCCTCATCCGCACACTAACCCCCCAAACCCCGCCCCCAAACCCTTCTTGTCGGTCATTGGCTGGAACAGTTTGTTATGTTTTGGGGAGCGGGTCGCCGCAGTTTGCTTTTGTTGCTGTTTGTGAAGCCTGGGTTGTCTACAGAGATCGCGTTTCTTTACAGTGTGTTCAGGGGACAGGCAGCCAGCGGTTAGTGAGGAGATGTTTGCTGTATGTGACAAAAAATGTTTTGGCCTAAAAAACGCGTGACATCGCTTAGAGCACCTTTAAATGCATAAATATTTGACCTGAGAACAGTGAGAAGTATTTTTTTTTTTCACATGGATTTTTAGTATACCATTGAATAATGACAATACATAAGCTTAATCAACAACATATTGTTTATTTTTGTTCAACCAAGTCCAGCAGACCAGTGCAATTTTTGCCATTAAGTGTAGCAATAGCTACACTAATAGCAATAGCGAATTCCTTGTTGCATAACTTGCATACAACCATGCTCTTATCGACGCTTCCATCCGTTCGTTTTTTATAACAAAATTTCCCATCCACGGGGCCAACCAAAGCGATCTAGGCGATCTATGAAGCAAGCGATCTCGTCAGCTTCTTCATCATGAACGCTAGTTGGTGCTCCAGTATAATCGGTCCGCCGAAACTCATCCAGTGAGAAACGTTCCGCGGTGCAAAAATAAGTGCGATTAAAATGATTTTTTGTGTAAATTAACGTGTTAAAGTCTGTAATTAATTAATCTTAATTAACGCGTTAAAGTCCCGGCCCTAGTTTTTACTAATACAGCTATCGATATTAATGAATCGTGAGAAGTTTTTAAAGTATTTAGATCTATTTCCATAACATAAAATGTCGCTGTGATGAGCATTGAGCAGATGACAGTGTGTTGATCGCGAGAATGAAGATCTTATCTTTGCAACGCAGTTTCTGCACTCTCTCTAATGCTTTCACCAATGCAAACACGATGATGTACAAACAGTAAGAGCTTCGTTGTGCTTATTATGGTCTGTTTCCCAAAAGCATCGTAACTTAAGTAGCACTTGAAAACCTTTGAGAACTACGAGTGCTCTGGAGTAATCATAAATCCCCAAGTGCATCGTAAGAAGACAGAGTTATGAGGTCACCTGCAAGACAACCGGCAAATTACACTTTTATCTAGATTTAACAGATTACACTGCAACGTAAGTATAATATAAGGTTTTGATTGTACTTTATTGTACACTTTGTTGTACTCGTGTTTTGTTTAAATGAAATAATTAAAAGGAAGAAAAAAATAGAAATACACATCTAAATTAAACGAATGAACAAAGAAACAAAAAATTATAAAATAAGTAATCTGGGAAATATGCTTTAAAGACCGGGCAAAATAGGGATGAATTCAAAAAAATCTGTCAATGACTTGCTGACGTGCACGAAAATCAGCCATGCATTGGGCATTTCTTGCGGACCTCCTTCCCTGATCTTTGAACACGGTTGCAGTTAGTTTGCAATGTGACAATGTCCTTCCAGATGTTTCGTTTTTCCTTATTTGTATGGTGTCCTTTAAATCTGTTAAAAATAAAATCTTTGTTTCCCTCTATCTCCTCTAAAAGGACATTAATTTTATCTTTTTGAAAGGTCTCTTCTCTTGTTTTGTTTTTTTGTTCAGCCATTTTATCAGCCTGTATAGGTGCTTTATATCCATATAGACTTGTCTTGATTTCTAATCGACAACAAATGACTATTATTAGGTTAAACCTTCAAATACTATTCCATATAAGGTTATATTTCAGCACTTACCGAATGGACAGTGACGCTTAAGTAGCACGTAGAACGCGTTATCGCGCGTTCATGTTAAGTGCATTTTTGGGAAACGCGGGTGGAATTGTGGCGAGCGTTCGTAACTTTGCACGTAGAGAGCGCTCTTAAGAGCTAATATACATCGTTATCGGGAAACCCGGCCCAGATAAACAGCTGTGTGGAAAGATTGTGTTCATTTGTACATCCGAACATTGATCAACTGCCATGCTTCGCTCGATTGCAAGCCATTATATCTCTCGAGGAAAAACTCAAATCGCGTTCGTACTTCCTAGCTCATTTTCTCTTGGGCGAGCCAAATTCTCTGGGCGGGCAAAGCAGAAAAAGGGGAGGTAACCTTTCCTCCTTATGACGTCATATAGGGGAGATTCAAGATTAGCCCATCTGAGCTCTCATTTTCTCACAGGCAGAGAAAGATAGCCAAAGCTCGGTTTACACCGATTAAAAATTCTAGACACGAGGGGACCAAATACAGGCTAGGGGAACTCATATTAATGGTAAAAAAAACCTCAGAAAGTGAAAATTTCATGTCAGGAGACCTTAAATAAAAACTTAAAACTTAGTAACATGCTCAAGGTGCTTGCGAAAGTGGTTGATCAGCTTCTTCCTGCAAAGGACATGAATTGAAACGGTTAAACTGATGCCATCGTTACTGTGTAATGTAATGGAATTTAATTTCTGATCTGCGCTGTTGATCACAACAGACTGGGCCATCTGACCAATTAGAGCAGAGTAGGCTCTCAGAAAGGATAATTTATGAGAAGAGAGATAATACTGCAATAAAAATTACAGTGTTTTTTTAACTTGGATGCTGTGGCGAGCAGGACGAGGCCGAAGGACGTGAGAGAACGGCGCAAGGCTGGTGGCGTGAGTGTTAATGAACGTCACCTGTGAGACGCACCGGTCTCGCATCGTCCCTCTGCCTCATCCTGCTCGCCACAGATGCATGTAAACCTAACCTCCAAAACTTTAAAATAGCATAATAGGGGCACTTTAAAATTGTTATTATTATTATTATGGTTCTTCTTCTTCTGAGACTAATTTTCCTAGAGAAACTCCTATACAGCCTTCAACCTACAAAAACCAAACACAGCAAAGACCTTTAGGCTGTAATTCCCTGCAGACTTCCGACTTCCATTCATTTATAAAATATACATACCATTTGCATAACACACTAATGGTTTATTCTCTGTTCTTTGTCAGTCTTTCTTCCAGAGCAAGCCATCAAGAGGTACAACAAGGTCTTGGGCTATTTGAAAGGTGGGACAACAAAAACCCAGGCATTCTTCAAATGTGGCGTGGATAGAAAGACCATTGCTGATACTGCTGCAATTGCGGAGCTCGAAGCTTGTGACATAGAGGCCTACAAAAATTTGCGAGGCACCTTTCAAAGAGGACAGAAACTGTCTAATTTTGCAGAGCGGTGCAGAGAATTATGCAGGCAGGAGCCACTGCAAAGCACCATTGAAAACAAAAAGAAAGTTGGCTTGCTTATAGACTTTTGTGAGAGACAAAAATAAGCTGTTTATGCATGTGTATGTGTTCTTTCTTTGTATGACAAATACCATTTCATGCATGTTCTAGCTCAGTGGCTATACACAGTCACTTTAACTGTTTCTTGTTTCGTGTTCCATGACTCCTGTTTAAAGTCAGCCATCATAAATATGGTCAAGTGGCTATACACACTGCCACTTTAGCTGTTGCTTGTTCCATGCATCAGCAATTTTTTTCAGTCATGATGAATAAATATCATGTGCAACCAAACTGAAGTCATTTGAAGCATTTGAGGTTTTTTGGTGAAGTTTTAGATAGTAATTGCCATAGAAGTATGTAGTAACACTTGAGTCGTTATTAGTTAGTTCCAATGATCTTCACTTTAGAATACGGATCCAAATAATTAGTAATTCCCATAGAAGTATGTAGTAACACTTGAGTCATTATTAGTTAGTTCCCATGATTCTTACAGTAGTTACTAATGAAAAGCCAATAAAGTGTAGAATCTTAATCTAATCACTCATACAAGATATGCAAACACACATATATGAGCTAGGAGACATACATAAAAACATTTTTTGAGTGGTATGTTAAATAATAAAATCACTGTATGGTATTTGGATGGCTGATAACTCAATATGTTCCAGTCGTCACCGTGACTAGTGATTCAATGCCAGTCCAGAGGAATGCCGGAAAATTGGGCACAGGACAAGTAAGGTCACGACAACTGCATTTAAAAATCCATTTCTTTAAAAATTATTCAGTTGATAAATAGACAGCATAGGCCAATTATTAACAGCTTTCCCAAATCATAAGTCTGCTATGCTATTACATATTGATAATGTAAACAACCTTGTGTATTCGTTTACAGTAGCAGTTAAAATGTTGATGTAGTGCTAGTCATTTGTAATGCTTTGGTTATTGATTAGTTTTGCAAGAATTATTAAACTTTTTCAGTAGTTCTCTGGGAAGCATTTTTTAGTTATTGATCAGTTAATAGCGAACTACCACTTTCATCTGTGCGCTATTACTTACTAATTCGTTAATCATATTTTATTTTTAGTTAATATAGTTACTAGATTGTTAATAAAAAAATTCAGTAGTTCTCTGGGAAGCATTACAAAAATAGTAGTTATTGATTAGTTAATAGTGAACTACCACTCTCATCTGTGCGCTATTACTTACTAGTTCGTTAATCAGAGTTTCTTGTTAGTTAATAATAGTTAATAGATTGTTAATAAAAAAATTCAGTAGTTCTCTGGGAAGCATTAAAAAAATAGTAGTTATTGATTAATTAATAGTGAACTACCACTTTCATCTGTGCGCTATTACTTACTAATTCGTTAATCAGAGTTTCTTGTTAGTTAATAGTAGTTACTAGATTGTTAATATTGTGTTACTCATTGGTTCTTGTGTAGTTATTCATTAACGAAGGAACCGTATTCTAAAGTGTTACCTAAAAAAGTACTGTAGCATTAGGCTTCGGATAGAAATACCATGCATACTAATTTGTAATATGGTACTGAATGATTACCACAATCAAACACCATGGTATTTGCATAAGATTATCATGATTGTGTAATCAAAAAACGTGAAAGTACAAACAAAATGGTTATACAATCAAAGATATCTGGTTCCTCAGACTTTCACACCTGTGTGATCGGTTGTGTAAAGCTTAGTACTTAGTTAAGGCCCTAATCTACACACAGAATAAAGGTTAAGTTTATGAGTGTAAGTTTGTCACTTGAGTTTGACTGGCCTTGTAAAACGATGTAGTCAGAAGTCCTGGAGGCTTTATTAAGGTGCGTCTACCTGTGACAAATCTCCCAGACTGACAGGTTTGTTCCTCATTCCTTTAAAAAAAAGTGTATGAACATCAAAGTAACAGCTTAAAGTCCCCATGTTGTCAATAAGTGCATCCCTTGATCATCCCAATGACATTTAAAAGTTTTTTCCTTGAAAAATATTTCTTCATGCCTTAAAATAGCTTGAATGTAACTCGACACCCTTTCCTCATTTAGTATTCGCGGTTCTATGAATATGCAAATGAGCCCCGCCTCCACTCACTCACTCAGCTCAGAGATCCACTGGTTGACGATCACACGTTGATCTGATTGGTTACAAGGTCGTTTGTGACGTCAGAAACACCAGCGATTTCAAACCGTGTTTTTGAGACTGTCTTTGGTTCACTGCAGTTTTAAGGAGAAAATACTCAGCAATGCTGTCGACTTATGAATTTACACATGGTTTGTCTTAAAGCATATTAAAAACACCACATAGACATACAAACAACATTAAAAGCTTTTACAGACTAAAATGGCACTACAGTCTCAGAACAATAACAGAACGACCTCTGATCTCAAGCAAAATAAAACACAAAAGGGGGGATAAGATTATTAGCAGCATATAGAAGATTTTCAGCTTAATATCATATTCACAGTTTCTATACACTGTAAAAAATGATCGTGATTTTAACTGTAAAATGCTACAGTGCAAAACTGTTAATTGGTTAACAGAATGTTTCCTTACTATATACGGTAAATAACTGTGATAGATCTAACGGTACATTTAATGTAATTTTACTGTAAAATACCGTTAAATTTACAGTTTTTGAAAGTGAAAAAGAACAAGTCATTGTATAATTTAAAACCGTAAATTGACATTCCCACAATTCCCTGCATGACACTTCACATTTGATTTATTTTTGTTGAAATAACTATGTTTCTTCTTAGTTTTCTTAGTTCTTTTCTAATCAGTTATGTACATTGGGGTTTTATGTTACATTTAATGTTGTTAAATTGATGTTTATTGCCTTTTTAAAATTTCATGCGTGTTACCATGATGGTGTTTAATGTTTCTATATAATAGTATTAACTTTCTTGTTGAAGACTGCTTGTGATGAGATTTGATTTATCATGTGATTCTCATCACTGCTGTGATTGTTGGTTGTCAGTGTATTACAATGGTACAAAACAGATATTAATACTTCAATACAGTTTTTTACTGTAAATTTTAAGTTAAGTCTGTAAAACCAATAACGGTGATACCGTATTTTTGACGGTAAAGTTCTGGTAACCACAGCTGCCATTTTTTTCCGTAAAAACAACGGGATTTTTTTTTTTACAGTGTACAGTACAAGTATGTTCTTTGGGATTCAACATCAATTCCTGCTGTTTAATCCAAGATTAGAAATCATCAGCACTGGGAAAAACAGTCCATAAATATTTCTACTTATTAAGCAAGATTAGAACTTGAGTCAAATCTTTCTGTGACTCGGTCTGGGTCAAACCCTACAGGCGGGAACAGACACTTACACTGTACACTTCAGCACATTTAAGGGAACAAGTGAGGTGACGTCACTGTCAAAAACCAGCAAATCCCATTAAATGAGATTTGTTTTTGTGGGTGAGAGAGCTAGAGGGAAGAAACTGATAGACCAAGAGAAAAATGAAACACATTCAGTGCTGTTTAAATATTAGTTGTTTCATCAAATGAGTCTGGCTAAAGGGTTTATAGCAAATAAACACTCAACTCAAGACCGGATGTTTATGAGAATTCAGACTCATTCACCAAGCCTTATATATCTTGTTACATTGTGTCCTAAGAACTTGAGCTGTTGTCACGATAATGTCTGTTTAGTTTCATTTTCTGTCACTATTTTCCCTGAGTTTTAGTTGTTTGTTGCTGTAGTTTCTAATTAGTCTCGTACATCTCTCATTTAAGCTCTCAGTTCTTTGTTCGTCGTCTTAAATGGTAGTTATGTTTTCTCACAGTGTTTATTACAGTAAAATATCTTTATCTCTATCTAGTATTAGAAATAATTATAATATTTTTAAAACAATTAATATTTATTGTATTTTTATAAAAAAAAATTTAACATCAAATGCGATGCCAAAACCGGCAAAAAGCTGTAAATCCATTATAATGGTGAACCAGGCTGTCAAAGGTTTCATGCGCAATGAGAAAATAAGCCAAAAGGTCAAAATAAATGATGAAAAGCGTTATAATATCCACAGTCACAGATAATCCTATCCGGATGGGATCCGATTTCTCACGGGACCCCTGAGTTATAGCTGGAAAACAGTTTTTGCATCTGCAAAACGCGACCTAACCTCCTCGGGGAAAATTTGTCCTGTCTAAACAGGGCTTTTTTTCTGAAGAATTTCTCAGGAGAAATAATAATCAGCTTTTTAATCATTTGGTTGCAGACTTTCGCTGGTCATATAGGAGCACGGTTTGTGAGGCCTACAATTCTGAGTGGACAAAAATCTCGATTTACAGTTTTTCTCAATTGCTAAAACACTAAAACCCATTGGCTGAACAAAGTTCTCAGTTGCCTGAACTCATTTAGCTAATTGTGCAGTCTGTTGTCAATACCTTAAACTATTTCACATGGCAAAACACAATTTGCAGATCTTACTTAGACTTTTCAGCAAAACGCTAAACACATTCTCATTCTCAAAACATATTCTGCACTGTAATGCACACGTCATCCATACTGGTAAACACAAGTGGCAATGATCAAATACAAATAGAGAACACATGTCATTGATTGAACACAACCACTCAAAATTGATTTAACCTGTTTCAAATGATGCCCAAAGACAAGAAGAAGCACACTGATCACGTTTACTCCTTTGATTTTTGTCCCTTTTAGTATTGTACACTGTAGTACAGTGCATTGTAGGCTGTATACTGTACAATTAACAAATTATATGGCCCCGAACATCATTACTGTAACAGTACCATTTGTTACAGTACTGAATGCTCAATAGATTTTACTGGTTGCAGGTTCATATCAACAAAGAACAAGAATTACAGTATCAAACAATAGAACTGACAAAGGAGAAGTTTGTGAGATGCAGGGCACTGTACTGTAAAAATAGGGGTACAAGGAGGAGGAAGAACAAATAAAATTGCAAAGAGCAAAGCAGAGTAGTAATTTCTGATCAATTTTGCGCTACTATGATGTTTTCATTCATCAAAAGACAATGACGGACAAATATGAAATTTGTTTTAAGATTAA